GGAGGAGGAGGAGGAGGAGGACGAGCTGTGGCCCTGGACGTGTGACGGACCGTGCCATCCCAAGTGGCCTGTTCCCGACGAGATGTCGCTGTGCACGATCTGCTTCGACAACTTCTGTGTCAACTGCACCCAATTGGTCGCTGCAGGCGCCATGGCTATCGATCAGTGTAGCACCAACCACGTCCCGCACTTTGTGTATGTGCCCCCGCGCCCTAAACCAGTGGCCAGGGGGATCATGGTGGTGGATGGCGAGGAGATGGACTTTGAGACGTGGAAAAATCGTTCCGGAAGGAGTGGCAAGTGTGATCGAGTTCAAGAAGTACAGAAGTACAGAAGATGAAGGGCATAGAGGTAATAGCAGATGGCTGGGAGATACCCAGGTTGACTTCCTGTTGATATCCCCGGCTCGCGATACCAGAGGGTGTAGTCCACCCACCTTGAATAATTAGTATCAGTGATATGAAGTATAATAATTAGTATCAGTGATATAAACATATTACTTATCAATTGTGGGGCAAGAGTGGACCAATGCATGACATCATGAAACAAGCTGGATGGCATCACGCTGACTCGCCAAGCAGGAAACGGTGGTCCTCCAGGAGAAGATAAATACTACCGGTTCAGCAATGAGTATTCTGAATCGTTAGTCCCATCGGCAGATCAGATTATCTCCTCTCCTCACCTCACATACCCCCAAAATGAGTCACTCAGTCCATGTCACCAGATCATCCGAGTTGGACGCAGCTACCGGTGAGATCCCTCTTCCAACCCCCCCAATTCCAACAGCACGACTGACAACCACTGAATCAAAGGAGGCCAGACGGCCGGAATGGTCCGTAAAGGCGCAATCATCGGCAAGTCCGACAAGATTTGTTCCTTGGGTATGACTGATCATCTCCCCACCATTTGACCTCCCCTTCTAAATGCATCCGCAGTGATGTGCGCTGAGCCCCATACCTCGTCGGCGGTTCACCACCACGGCGACCAGGATACCATTGTTTATGCTGCCAAAGGCCACGGATCCATCATCTTTGATGGTGGGAGGGAGCGCAAGGACCTCGAGCCGGGGGACTTTGCCCTGATTCCTGCGTAAGACTCCCATCCTCGATCCCAGGGGGGGAAACAGGCTGACCATGTGCAGGTATACGGAACATCAGGAGGCCAACCACTCAGACGAACCGGTGGAATGGGTGATTGTGCGAACGGGAGGGACACCAACTACGGTCAATCTGGAGGGCTGGGGCGCAAAATAGGATGCCAGTGTCAATTCTTTAGTCCGTGTACATACAGACAGAGCTTTTCTAGAAGAAGCAGGTCTACTGCAACTCTCAGACTTTCTCCGACGCGGCCACCAGCTGAAGATAATAGGATACAATATCCACGACCTGATCTTCAAACGAGCGGAACTTGATCCCCAGCACCTTCTCCGACAAACCCACGTCCAACGGGACCGGAATGGACTGGATCTGCCCAGTGTTGGGCAACAGACCGGACTCCACCTCGTCTCGGAATCTGCGCGCGGTGATTTCCAGACTGTCCTGCCAATTGATGCCCTGAGCCCCTCCCGCGGCGAGAATAAAGCCCTGATTGCCGGGCACGGCGGGATCCAGGCACCGGACATGCGCCTCGGCGACATCATCCACATGAACGGCGGAGTTGGGCGTGAACCTCTCCTTGCTATCACAGACCACCGGGTCCAGCACCTCCTGGTTGGATCCCCGCATCAGCTCGGCGGGCGTACGAGCCAGTTCATCTCGTCCGATCACAAATCCCGGGAAGAGATGCACCACGTCAAAGGCCGGTCGCGTGGCAGCCAGCCACTGCTCGGCCTCATTCAACGCCGCCACTTTGCTCGCTGCATATGCCTCCCAGGGAGAGCTGAGCTTGTACCCAGCCGGAAGGGAGGGGACGCGACTGTTCGCGTCGAACACCCGGTCCCCGCCGCCCCCCGATACAACCCACGACCATGGCACGATCGCCGCGCCAGACGAGGTGATGACGACCCGTCGAACAGAGCCCGCCTTTTGCGCTGCCTTGAGCAGTCCCAGCGTGCCACGGACCGCCGGGTCTATCATGGTCTCGACCAGGCGGGCATGGGTCATGTCTGCAGGGTCCAGGTGGGTCTGCTGAGGGATGGGTGAGGCTACGTGGATGGCATAGTGTGCGCCTTGAATGGCTTGGTCGTATGCCCCCTCGACGGTGAGATCCGGGACCTGCACAAAGGACAGTCGGTCCTCGTCGAGGTGAAGAGCCTGAATCGAGGGAGTGCTCCGGATTCGCTGCGCCTTGTCAGGGCTGCGCACTGCTGCTCGCACGCGATACCCGGCTTCGAGTGCCCGAACGAGCACGCGGAACCCGACGTGGCCGCTACCTCCAGTGATGAAGACCAGTTCTCCGTTCCTCGTCATGGTAATCTAGGGTGCTAGTTGTGGTTGCAGTTGTGGTTGCACGTTCTGACACTTTCCGCCCTGATGGGCGGGCGTTAGGTGTTTATACGTAGGGTTCAATGATCTCGACCCAGGGTCTAGCCTTAGCATCCCGAGAGCAGTACCACGGAACTTCGTCTTCAATCTGAATATATACTAAGCTTTGAGGTCACTGAATGCGGTGTACCAAATTTTCCTATGCGGGTAGAGTATCCGACCGGGGTACGTTGTTCGTGTTTAGGGCTGATCTTGCCACCAAAGTTGGTTGGTGAAAGGCCGGAGACGGAAAGATACGAGACCAACCCAAGGAATGGAGTGAGATGATACAATATCTTGAGGTTAATATTAGTCTTCGTGCGGAGCTCCCCCCCTCCACCCTATTTCTCCGTATGCTCGAATTGACTGAGAGTGGTCGAGCCGATCGATGGCACTGGGGTTGATGATCAATCTGAAGTGGTGGCAGCGCCCATGCCAGCAACGCAAACTATATCACTCAGATTGGGGCGATATCATAGACGACTAAGAACACTCATGCTATTGCTACTAGCTATATCATATGTGATCCGTCTCAAGATGGTCCCTGATGTTTTCGACATTCTTACCAGAAGGTGCGTTCTTGGGTCTCCGCGGATGATAACTGATTTCTTCTTTGTAGTACACGTACACTTTCTGGCAAGACATTCGGGTAGTCGAGATAACCGGAATGATGTGCCTGCAAGTACCTCGAAGAGCAACCTTCTCTCCCAGCCGAGTCCTTTCAGGGAACCACAGAATCCTTGGAGGGCCATCTGCGACGAACCCTGTCATCCAGAGCTATACTAGGAAATGTCATCTTCGATTCTCTGCGTCTTTAGCATACCCGCTCAATCAGAGAGTTCAGGATCTCGCTTCGGCCCAGTCCGACTTCAATGCGAATATCAGGGGATACATGTTCCCTCTGGTCTCCTTTCGGAATTCTTGACGTTGTGTCCCAAGGATAGAGCATAAGCCTTTTTCTTTCTTTTGTTCCTCTTTGGCTCTTTGGTCGTGCATCGCCTTCCCATCAATGGCCAATGATTAGCTTTGTGTTTCCCTTCAGAGCAGATACCAGTCAACCGTGCGTACGAGAGGATCAAGCCAGGAGTTCAGATACTAGGCTTTCATCTGCTTATGCAGACACTGGAGGGGAACCTTCAAATAGAACCAATGCGAGTCAAGCTTTGTGCCTCAGAATCCGAATTGGTCTGCAGCCCGGACTCAATGGGAGGCCGGAAAATAGGATTTCTTCACATCTCACCGATCAAGCTGACAACGCCTCTTTCGACCTCTGTTTCCTTTGATGCTGAGGACATCTCGTGAGTCCAGTCTTCGGGCAGGACTGGAAGTGGCCATGAGAAAGTGGCCTTGACCATTACCCTTCAGTCATTGCACATATATGAGAAGTCCCTCGATAGGCAAATGCTCCAGTGGGTACTGCCCATGCACCTTTTGATCTTCACTCCTCTCTGGAAACAGCCAGACACTTGATCCCACTCTGTCCACAGTCCCCGTCGTCCAGCCCCTCCGGGGGATATCTCGTATATCTGTCGATCTGACTCGCACAGGTTGCAGCAGCAGCTGAATGAAAGAAGGCGGAGAACATAAGGACTGGAAGATACTTACTTTTTGTAAGTACTTGCTGAGTAATACCTCAATCCCAACAAAACAGCAGCCAGCATGTGATAATGGGAGCCCGGACCAACCATTGACCCGCAATCACATGTCAGAGACCCACCGGGTTGCAGCAGCAGCCAATCATCAGAGGACGATAACAACGCGGAGGATCGGGCGGAACCGCTTGGCTGCCCCAACCGGCAATGGATGCGGAGAGCAGCCGTCGTTCGCCTGGAGTCCGCCATGGTGCGGATGAGTCAGCAGAAGAGGGGGATTTGACGCCATCGCTGCAAGGCACCAACAGGGGAGAAATTCGTCCCATAATCCTCCATAATCCTCCATAATGGACTTGATATCACCGGGAATCGCCATATATCAGAGGCTCTATCTCCCTGGTGGAGTCTCACTTTCAGTTACTCACCCATGGTTCATCGCCCCAGTCTGGCGTCAAGCAGAGTGTCCTGCGGTCGGCAGGATGCAGGCGAGCCGAGCACGTTCTGGGGACTCGATACGATCGAATCCATCCAGATGGAGTGGTGTGTTGGGATGAACTAATCCGCTTTGGGGGGGCAGTCCCTGGTCCCTCCTTCAGTTCCTCCACTGCTCTTCCACTGCTTTCCCACTGCATCTATTCTCCTGCTACTCCATACTTAATCACACAGACAGCTCCCCTCGGATCCCTTCCTCTCTACGCTGTTCAATCGGTGAGTCTGCAGTGTAATGCAATCCTGCCTCTGACTGCATCAAACTGACAACGCATGCCTCCCCAGTCTCTTTGAATTGACCCTCCTCCCCCCTCCCCCCTCCAACCTCCGCCTCTTCGCTCCTCCTCCTCCTCCTCCCTCCTCTCGCCTCTCGCCCATGTTCCCACGTGTTCTTGTCAATTAAACGAAATAAACCGAAACAATGACCTTCCTGGATACCACAAAAGACCTTTCCGCCTTATTTTCGCGTCAAGTCAAGGCCACCCCCCAGGCCGTGGCCCTCGAGGATGACAAGACCACTTTCACATACGCTGAGCTCGATCGGGAGGTTGACTGTCTCGCCCGTCGTCTGCGCACATACGGCGTCAGTCGAGATACCTTGGTGGGCGTGCTGTTGCCAAGAAGTGCTGATTATGTGATTGCTTGTCTGGCTGCCTTGCGGGCGGGGGGCGCCTTTCTCGTGCTAGAGCTGGCCTATCCCCCAGAGCTGCTCGCCGACGTGATTGAGGACGGCAACCCCGCCGTCGTGATTACCCACGGCGCCGAAGTAGGCAAGATCAGATCCGAGGTGCCGTTGATTGTGCTGGACGAGCCAGCCATCCATGCCAATGGACACGCAGCGGAGCCGGCGCCTCTCCCAGCCGACGACGACTTGGACCGACTGGCATTTGTCTCCTATTCCTCGGGGACCACGGGCAAGCCCAAGGGCATCGCCAATCCCCACCGAGCTCCAGTACTCTCCTACGATTTGCGATTCGGAATCCAGGACCAGCAGCCTGGCGACCGGGTGGCCTGCAACGTCTTCTTCATCTGGGAGATTCTGCGCCCCTTGTTGCGGGGAGCCACCGTGGTGACCGTGCCGGACGAGGTGAGCTATGACCCGGCTGCATTGGTCGACCTGCTGGCGGCGAAAAAGGTTACCGAGACCCTGATGACGCCCACGTTGCTGGCGACCGTGCTGCAGCGTCATCCCCACATTAATGAACGTCTTCCGGAGCTGCGCACGCTCTGGCTGAATGGTGAAGTGGTCACGACCGATCTGGCCCGGCGCGCCATCAAGGCTCTCCCGCACACTCGTCTACTCAACTGCTACAGTGCTTGCGAAACGCATGAGATCGCCTGTGGGGATATGCGGGAGATGATCGATGATGAAGCAACCTACTGCCCCGTGGGGCCACCCTTAGATCCCAAGCACACCCTCATTCTCGACGAGAGTGGCCAGCCGGTGGAGGCGGGAACCAGTGGGGAACTCTTCGTGGCCGGTCCTTTGCTCGCTCGAGGCTACCTCAATCTGCCCGAGACCACCGCTAAAGCATTCATCCCCCACCCCTTCGATACACAACCCGGTGCCCGTCTCTACCGGACCGGCGACTTGGCCCGCCTGCTGCCGTCGGGACTGCTGGAAATCACTGGTCGCGTAGGATCCATGATCAAGTTGCGCGGGTATTCCGTGGTCCCGGCCAAGGTCGAAAGCGAGATTGTCAAGAACCTCGCGGTCAGCCATTGTGCGGTCGTCGCCCACGGCGAAGGTCTGGAGCGACAGCTGGTGGCATACCTTGTGCCCGACGGAAACGCCGCCGGTCGGCCGCCGGTCGAGATCAATGAGGCGGGATACAGCCCAGCGGCGCGGCGCATCCTCGCCCAGTCGTTAGCACACTACATGATTCCCGCCCTGTGGGTCGTGCTCCCGGAGTTGCCCACGCACGATGTGACTGGCAAGGTCGACCTCAAGCGCCTGCCGCCCCCTCCGACGAGTGACGGCCACCTCAACGGGAACGGCAAAGCCGATCAGGACCCGATCACTCTGGACCAGGTGGCAGCCTGCTGGGCGGCCGCCCTCAAGACCTCCAAGACCCTGCTTAAACCCACGGATGACTTCTTCGATTTAGGAGGCCACTCCTTGTCGCTGGCTGACCTTTCTTCGCGCCTGTCCCGCCACTTCGGGTTCCGGGTCCCGATTGCTCGACTAGCAGAGACCACAACCCTGACGGGTCACTTGGAGACGGTCCGCGCCATTCGTGACGGACATACAGCCGCAGTCCAAGCCGATCTTCCGGCGGTCTTGCGTGCAGATGCCACCCTCGATGCTGACATCCGACCCGCGGCCCCGGCCACGATCTGCTCCATTGACCAAGCCAACACCGTCCTTCTGACGGGTGTGACTGGCTTCCTGGGTGCTTTCCTGCTGCACGATTTGCTGGAGAACACCTCCGCCCACATTATCTGCTTGGTCCGATTCAATGAGCCGGCCACCGACGATCAGCCCGGGGGTGTGGCCCGCATCCGCCGGAATCTCCTTGATCTGGGCTTGTGGCGCGATTCGGTGATGGAGCGTGTGGAGATTCTGCCTGGAAACCTCTCCCGCACACGGTTCGGTCTCTCGACGAAGGCTTTCGATGCGCTCGCAGCGCGCGTGCAGGTGGTCGTCCATGCTGCCGCGACGGTCAACCTCGTGTATCCCTACGCCGCTTTGCGGGGTCCCAATGTGGGGGGGACGCGGGAGATCCTGCGCCTGGCGAGCAAGAGTGGCGCTACTGTGCAGTACGTGTCGACGAACGGAGTCTTGCCGGCGTCGGGCGCGAAGGGCTGGTCGGAGACCACGCTGCTGGACGTGGAGGATGTTCCGACCAAGTTGCTTGACGGCTACGGACAGACCAAGTGGGTCGCGGAGCAGCTTGTTCTGGAGGCTGGCCGTCGCGGATTACCCGTGAAGATCCACCGAGCGGGTACCATCAGTGGACACAGCACTACGGGCGCGGCCAACGCCTGGGATCTGCTGTCTGCCTTGATCGTGGAGTCGATCAAGTTGGGCTACGCGCCGGATGTTGCGGGCTGGCGGGCCGAGATGACCCCGGTGGATTTTGTTAGCAAGGCGATCATCCATCTCGCCACTCAGACCCATGCCGAGCAGACGATCTTCCATCTGGGCGATCCCCAGCCGATTGACACGCGGGATGTGTTTGCTGCTCTGCAGGAGCTGGGCTACCCGACGAAGCCTCTTGGCTGGGATGAGTGGGTTGCTTTGTGGAACGAGCAGCGCAGTCAGGTCAAGGGTGGCGACGGTGGCTTCACGGTAGACATTCTTCGCAGCGGTATGCCTACGGTGGAGTTCCTGCGGGACATTGTCGTCCTCGATAACGCCGCGACGCGACCGTTCCGCACGTGCGTCGAGCGGCCCAAGGTGGACAAGGCATTGCTCGAGACCTATACCCGCCACTGGTTCGCTCGAGGCTGGCTCTCCAAAGCCCCTGTGCGGCAGCAGGTGGTGAACGGAACGGCCACGCTGGCCAAGGGGCCGTTGAGCGGCCGCGTGGCGGTCGTCACCGGTGCGTCTTCGGGGATTGGCGCCGCAGTGGCCACCGCCCTTGCCCGCGAAGGCTGCCATGTCGCTCTGGCTGCTCGTCGGGTCGAGGCGCTCAAGACGTTGCAGAAGGAGCTGGCAACTCACGGGGGGAAGATTATCGCTAAGAAGACCGACGTCACCCACAAGGCACAGGTGGACGCTCTGTTCCAGGACGCCACCCAAGAACTGGGCCCTATTGACATTCTCGTCTCCTGCGCAGGCGTCATGTATTTCACCATGATGGCAAACGTGCAGACGGACGAGTGGGAGCGCACGGTTGACGTGAACTGCAAGGGACTGTTGCACTGCTTGTCGGCGACGGTTCCGGGCATGCTCTCGCGGGGCGCGGGACATATCGTGGCGATTTCCTCTGATGCGGGCCGGAAGGTATTCCCGGGCCTTGGCGTGTACTCGGCCAGCAAGTTCTTTGTAGAAGCTACGTTGCAGGCTCTGCGTCTGGAGACGGCGGGGACGGGCCTGCGGGTGACCAGTGTGCAGCCCGGCAACGTTGCCACGGATCTGCTGGGCATGTCGACGGACGCAGAAGCTCTAAAGAAGTATGGCGAGCCGTCCGGGGCTGAGGTTCTGGCGCCGGAGGACATTGCCAACTCGATTGTGTACGCGCTGCGCCAGCCGGCGCATGTCTCTGTCAATGAGGTGTTGATTGAGCCGCGTGATGAGCCGATTTGAGTATTGAGTATAGACTAGATAGACGGTGCTGAGATGATCACGACTTATTTTTTCCAACTGCTCAACGTATACCTCGAGATACCGTGTTGACCCCAATGCCTCGAGTTCGCATTCACCCGTTGTTTCTTACTATAAACTCCATCATGCACACTATAGCGGCGTGAGCATCAACTACAAGTTCAGTTCAATCCTCATACTAGCCGTGTCTTCGCCGCAGAACAGGGATCCCCTCCCCTCCCCTCCTATCCCTTCCCGGTCCCTGCATAGAACCACACCTCCCCCATATACCCAACCCTTACGCAACTAGAAAAAAGCAATTGGATTCCCACTCCCCGCCTCCCCCACCTCCTGCTCGACATCCCAATGCTCAACCATACACGTCCCCACCATGCGAATAATGTCCACCAGCGCTTTCTCCCCGGCCTCCCCGGTTGCATCCCGCGGAATCACTTTCGTATGGGCCACCCCAAAGGTATTCCCCGCTGCATCCCACCCGACGAAGGCGCGCTGCAGCTGCGAGTCCACGTCGGGCACGACGGCGCTCAACTCGGCGACGGTCTCGTTGACCCCGGTGGCGGCCACCAGCGGCGAGTGGTTGATGTATTTCCCCGCGACGTATTTGGCTAGGGCTGTGGCGATGCGTTGTTCGGTGTACATCAGCGCGGTGAACTCCGTCCAGGCGGCGAGTTGTTCGGCCGGGGTGGCGGTGGCGGCGGTGGTGGTATTGGGGCAGTTGAGGAGGGTGTATTCGTCCGAAATTGGGGTTGCTGCGGTTGCGGGGAGGAGGGGAGAGAGGAGGAGGAGGAGGGTGGTGGTGAGGGATTGGAGGTACATGTTTGTTGACTGGATCAGGTTGACGGGTTACTGGCTAGATGGGTACAGTAGAAAAGGTCGATTGGGAGGGTTTGTTTTTTGGAGGAGGTTTAAGTAGTCGTGGGAAGGTGGAATGCTGGGTGGAATGTGTCCGTCGCTGGGTTGGGTTCCGGGGGTGGGCTGGACTGTATGTACAGAGCGGTGTTTATCTGCTAAAGACCTTCTTGTTGCTTGTTTTATTGCATAGCGCACCGGTTGGGACTCGAATCACGTCTTTGCACCTCAGTAGGGTATGGCACCTCTGCATCGATAGTTGGGATAACGTCCTTCGCACCTGACTAGTTCTGGGGGACGGTTACTGTTATTGATATCCCTTGCCTCGGATATGATGTGTCATATTAGCAAAGTGTTAAGTCCAGTAGGACACATATCGTATCATGTTGATCACTTTGAGGTACAGAACGTGCTTGTCAAGATGCCTGTCTTTCTACTCTAGAAGTTGTTGGTTGTTTGCGCTGGATCGATAGTACCGGGGGAGATCTGAATGGTCCCTCTTCAGATCTGCTCCTGTTTCTTCTATCATCGAGCCTGTCTCAGTTCCGATCTGATGAGATGCGATTAGATTATCTCGGAGATACCCGACGAGCACAATCGATCACAGTCTGCAGTGGGGCAGTCAACCAAGCATCCAGCCAAGCATCTTGGCCAGGCACTGTCCAAGGGCGACACCCACCGTGTCTCAGGGCCTGCAGCCACTACACTCACGCCATCAGCTATATAACCACCCCCAGTCATCGTTGCCTCGCATCCCTCTCCCACCGCACACTCCCCCTAGTTCGACCTGCCGCAAGAACGGCATTCGAACAGCCATGACCACCGACCACTGTTCCTACTCGAGGCCCACGCGGAGACAGACTCGGTGGACGAGAAAGGGTGGACGCCACCGCTCATGGCAGAGAGCACGCAGAGATCGTGCGTCTTCTGCTGGACAAGCACGGCGACATGACGGAAGATGACCGCCATACTGTGTGCGTCCTATGCAGCAGACGCAGCCGTCGTGACTCTACTCCTCGATGCAGACGCTGATCCGCATGACGCAGATGGGAATGAGGGCGCATGCCAATCACGTATGTCGCTGAGGCTGGGATGAAGCATTGTTGCTGTCGTTGCTGCAGAGAGGTTGCGAAAAGATGAAATGTTCTCCATTGATGCAGGCCATACCCCAGAACGATGAGGGGTGAGAAGCTGCTCCTCGAGAAGGGGGCGGATCCGTACTCGGAAGAGGACAGCTGCTGCGAGTATCCACCCCTAAAACATGTCGCCGGTCATGGTAAGGTCGAGATCGTGAGATTACGCTTGAAGCAAGATGCTGCATCGGCCGAAAGCAAGAAAGATCATATTCTCAGGGCGCTGGAGGCTGCGTGTCAGGCGAGCCACGACGAGGTGGTTGATGTATTGATGGATCAGGATCCCTTTGGCTGCGCAGGTAACGGGCTGCAACAAGCGCTGTCATTGGGTTACGCTGCTGAGCTCTGTACTGCATATATGTAGATGCTATGATCGAAGTCCCTAGGATGGGGCTGAATGACGATTATACCGAGCGACTAAAGCGTGTGGTATAGTCAAGGCGGAATGATCTATGCGTGGTAGCCACCTGCTCGGCTCGGATGAAACCACAAAAACACCCGACGGATATCTCGGCATGCCGATCTTCACCGCATCCGGCATGAGACGCGGCCCCACCCCAGGGACAAACGCTCCGGACCATGGCAGGCTGCCACATTAGACTTCGCGCAGTTGGTCTGTCCACGGGCGCATCAACCATGGAACGATCAGTCACGACATCTGGAGAAACCCCGGGTGAGGCTTGCATCGTGCGATCACTTCCACTTCTTTGTTCTGCGTGCAGGGGGGAAAACAGGGGTGTATGGTGACATCACAAGGTCGCCCAAGTTTTTTCGCGGGTGAAACTAGCGGGTGCTTGGTTTGGGATTTAGCTTTTTCGTCGGATCCTTCTATTACGCAATAAGATTAGACAGGATCTGCCAAGATGAAGAAAAAAAAAAAAAAAAAAAAAAAGATAAAAAAACAAAAAACCGATTACTACGGAAAGAACAATGAAGTCAGGTGCTGTGGCTCAACCTACAACCTTTGTCTTCATCTCATCATCTATGCATGGCCGACTAGGGCGGCAACAAGTCGATGACTTCTCCTGGTAGCTGATGAGTGTTCAGTGTCGATTTGCCTTGTATTGCAGGAATCTCGAACGAGTTACGGACTACAACATATTACGATATGACCGGAGGGAGGATTCTGGCGCACGCAGACGTGGTGGGAGACAAGTTCAATTTGTCAAGCCTGGGCCGGGAGAGCGGCTGGTGATCGGCCCATGGAATGAATGGATGGCAGTTCCAAAGAT